TCACAATGTGTCAGTTGCAGACCAATCACGTCACACAATGTACTCGTCTGACACTCACTTTTTAAGGTCAAAATAGTCAAAGTGAAAAAATTCTCCAAGTTAGCTATGCTTTCACTTTGGCTACTCTGTTCTTACATTTGAAATTCACTTTGAATTCACTTTCAGAGACTTGCCGTTTTGGAGATGCTCTGGCCCAGTTGTCTAGCCATCACTATTTGTACGATCACCATATCTACTATGATTTCAGGGACATATTATTTTGTCATATTTATGAAAACATGATTATATATAAATTATGAATACATGAAAACAGTTGCCCTGTAGCAGTGGTGGAACTAATGAAGAGACGGCCCTGATGCATAAAGTTTCTTGGGCCCCCCTCTAGTGCAAGAGTGGTCACAAGGTAGATCCCCATCTGCCAAGCTGGGGATCTACCATTTGCCCATCCTTACAGGATTATATTTGTGCCTTTGAATGTAAAAATGTTTGTGCATGTATGGTGTATTTATTATGTACTGTTGCCACTGAAATGCAGTGGTGTGTTTGTGAGACGTTGATGTTCAATGTGGATGTCCTCTTGTGTGTAGTGTTGATGTTTGATTGAAGTGGTGCTTGTATATAATTTTAGTTTAATGTTTGTGTTTGACTTCTGATCAGTGTATTTACACAGTTTCTTTTTTTTTTACAATCTTTAGAGTAATTATTTTATTATTGGCTTTTTTGGCATTATTTTAGTGCATGCCACATTTCATATTAAAATATAAAACATTTACTTAAATTGGTAACTGATATCTATATATATTAAAAAGTTATTATAAATACTTAATAGAAAATTGTCAGCACAAGTCTTTTAAGTCTTATTTGTATATGCAAATAATCAATACCAATGAGTTATAAGTGAAACCTAAATACTGTTTTGAAAACTAACAAAAAGGAAGATTAATTACATTGTCTGATTAATATAGCTGCAATGTTCTGTCAGTAGAGAAAAACAATGGTACCACGCTAAAGCAAGCACTAGATGGCAGTAGTTGAAATTTGAAATAAAAACGCTTTAAGGCACTAAATATATAGAATCCCGTTACACAGGAAGAACAGATAATTATTTGTGATAACCAGTTGCCAGGATGTTTATAGCTATACTGTGAGATAGTATAAAATGGTTAAAGCTAGCAAGTGCAAAACATTAACTCCATGCAGCCATAAATGCAGTGATTCGTGAATGCAGGAAATCAATTCATGTTTTAGAAGAGGTATTGCGTGTCCCCTAGTAACCTGCTAATTCTAAAAGTAATATCGAATGTATAGGAAGGATGCCTTTTCTGCGGTACTTACTGCTCGTTCTACCTACTGAACATAGACTTCATGTATTTCTTTTTTACAAAAATATTTCAACTTCACTTTTTTTTTTTTTTTTTTTAAACTTCATTTGATTAATTTTCTATATACAATACATCTTTGGGCACATGCCAAACCTCCAACAAATCTTATCTTTTAACCTTAGGAATTCAAACCGTTTTACTATTTTATGATCCTCCTGATTTGGACACCTTTTATTCCCCGTCACGAACAAAATGGAATTGGTTTAAAAAGGATTTTACATAAAGCTTGTTATAAAACAAACATGTGTCCCTCATAACAAATTAATGACTTTAAATGTAATGTATGATAATTTTCACATTTTTATGTGATGGAAGTTACAAATAGTGGTCCCCGTATTTTAAAATAGTTTTAAGCAATTTAAATGTTTGACTTAAGTCATAACTTTATTGGGGGGCGTGGCTTGGCGCCGGACGAGAATGGCCGCCTAATCTCCTCGCTCCGCTCCCGACCGCCCCATAAGCACATCTAAACAGCGCAATCTGGAACCCATGGGACGCACCAAGCGAGCCCAAATGACCCCCTCCACGCCAAGAACTCAGGGGAACAACCCGCACCCCTCGATCAGAAGCTACCTGCACACCCCAGGCGATCTTCTCACACAGGAGGAACTATCCAATATGGCGCCCTCCTCACCGAGCTCCACACTATCGGAAGAAGTCCCCAACACTGGAACGAACGGAACTGCCGCGCCAGCACCAGACTGGTATGCCCTTTATGCATCCCTACCTAAGAAGGAGGACTTCCACTCACTCCTGGAAGAGGTTAAAACCACGCTGCACACAGAAATATCAGCTCTGGGCTCCTCCATTACAGCACTAGAGACCAGAGTGCAGGCCCTGGAATCCCGACGCCCCGACCTGCCCTGCCCGGCGCTCGCAGCCACGACAGCACAGGCTAAACAGATCCAGGACCTACGCTTACACATTGAAGACCTGGATAATCGCAGCCGCAGACACAATATACGGGTAAGAGGATGCAGGGAAACAGACCCCCCAGAAGACACGAGGGCCATTTTGACACCACTCTTTAACCGTATCCTGAACCGGCCAAGAGATGCCCGCATCCCCATAGACAGAGCACACAGGGCCCTGAAGCCTAAGCCCCCGCCAGGTGCCCCTCCTAGAGACATAATTTGCCACATCCCAGACTTCCAACTTAAGGAAGAAATTATGAGGAAAGCCCGGACGGAGAGGTCCTGGAGGCATGAGGGGCAGACGGTCGAACTATATAACGACCTCTCCCACCTCACCCTACAGGCCCGAAGAGCGCTGCGGCCCCTTACCACCGCCATGCAGGAGGCCCAAATACGCTACCGCTGGCAATTCCCATTTGCCCTAACAGCTCGGCGAGATGACACCGAAGCCACGATAAGATCACCACAAGACGTACAAGCCTTCCAAGAAGCCCTTGGCCTCCCACAAATGCCCATCGCAGACTGGACAAATTGCCCGATGAATGAGCGCTTCACAGGGCGACCAACCCGCCGCCACATCCAGCAGGGACCAAACGCTGAATTTACCTCTCTACAGCAAGCGAGCCCAGAGGAATAAACCTACCCCGTTTGCCTGAGAAATCGCTGAAGACTCTACGCTGACATTTTTTCTGGGATCACAGGGCACCCCCCCTCTTTTTTTTTTCCTCTCTTCTTCCCCTCCTCTCTCCTCACTCCATCAAGGAACGACGAAACATGACCGGAAGAAACAAAGCTATGGACAACTACACCAGCCGTCCAACAGGCCCAGGACACTCGTACAAAATAAATGTGGCCACCAGCAAACATCTACACCACACTCGCCACTCCTCGCACAAGGAACCTGTCAGCGGACTAAGCTCACCCCTACACGACCAGAGAACATGAGCCCCCGTCAAGAAGGACCCAACACTGCACAAGTACCCCCACGGGCAACTGATAAGTGGCCTAACACTGCCACACAATGGACTCCCTCCAGAAGAAGAGAGAACTCAAAAGCGCAAGTACTAAGCCAGGGGTCACAACGCCCCAAGACTATACACCAACCACACACTTTACATAAAATACTACTAACGGTGACGCAAAAACAACCCCACCACATGGGGCACTCTCCCACGTACATTAGCACGCCACACAGCCACACACCATACAAAAGCAACATACTGAAGCAGGGACACTCGTGATATGCTGAAGTGTGATATGCTAATGTTCCTGCTCTGCTGTTCCCACACCACAGATAGACAGCATACACGGCATACAGGCATTTCCACTCATGAGTACAACCACCACGACACAGACACTAATACACAGGCACTGGAGGCGGCAGAGCCCGCAATGCTAAATACAGACTATTCCAAGTCAAAGCTACTCGAAGTCAAAGCTACTCATCTGTGTTCCTCTATGTAATCTGTGGGTATTGAAATGTAAATACAAACGCGACGGACAGACACCACGTCACGTACCTGCACATCACATGCAGGAGACAAGACAGCGACACGGACGATAGGGACACTTGTATTGCACTGACCGATGACTGCAAGGCTAACTCAGGACTAGGCCTATAACAGTTAGGTGCCCTCCCAACTACCGGAACACAAAACGTACCTATCACATAACACATGGAATATCAGCTATCAGAGAAGACTGACCACGATTTGGGGAGTCACTTAGCAAACGGTAACATCTCTAGCTCCTGACATACGACAGCCGACTGCTCACACGAAAGACAGATAAGCAATCCCGAACTGATTATCCATGATGATCCCTACCGATTAAGTCTTACTGAACGACCACACCAGCTACCACCTTATGGTGACAATAGACGAGGCCTGACACACAATGACTCTCACATGACTATACGGAAAGCCGAATCTCCCCTTGGAAGAGACAGCTAGAATACGAACTAAGACGAGTCTGAGCTGACATACGGGCCCTCCCCGCCCCACCCTCCTCCCCCTGACTTGACCGAATACCGTAAGACCCCGAGTGACCCACAGAACGCAATCTCAGGACGACTAACACGGGATGACCCCCACCTCATCAGGGCATACTCAAACTGTACGAATTAGTTGAATTGAATTGAATTGCATTGAATTGTTTTTGAATGTTACAAATGTTCTCTTATACAATGTTGATCACTGCGTGTTCATAACCTGCAAGTTGCTCTCCCATAGGCCTTAACTCACCCTCATCACCCGTATCACACGGTAAGAACCATACAAGGACCACCACTAAAACCCGCTCGCATGCACCTTAGATTAAACACACGACCTACCCTCAGATGGGTGCCACACCGTCCTACACCGCAACACTCTGGGGCGGCGGAGGCCGGACGAGAACTGGACTTGACGCCAACCGGCGACACAGTCACAGACGGGTGACCTACCCCCTCACCGGCGCCACCAACCCCACGGGTACACTGCCTACGACCTGCTAGGTAGCTACGGGAAGCAACTCCCCTAGACCTCTACCTACCAGCGGCACATTGCCCCTTACTACTATTACCCCAACGAGCTACAAAAACCTAAACTAGCTGCCCCACTACACACACCCGACTACCTTACACCCCTTCTCCCACCCCCTCCTTCCCTCGTAGACCCCTCCCTCCCCTCTCCCTTACACCCACCTACAACCCCCCCTGACCCTCGCCCGCCCGGGTCCACCGGCCGGTCCGGCCCGGGGGCGACACCCACAGCATGGGCCCGCCCCACGCCCCCTACGCGGGCAGACCCAACTGGGACCACCTCAAACTCTACACGCTTAACGCGAGAGGCCTCAACTCTCCTCATAAACGGGCCAGAGCGTTACGGGAACTCAGAGCACTGGGAGTGTCGATAGCCTTCTTCCAGGAAACCCATTTTCACGCACCACAGGCCCCGAAGTTCTCCAACAAACACTACCCCAACGGCCACTTCGCGCACAACCCCTCGACCAAATCTAAGGGAGTAGCCATACTATTCTCAGCAAACACCCAGTTCCACCTGGAAGCAGAAGTAAGAGACACGGAGGGCAGATATCTCTTTATTAAGGGGAAAATAGGCAACTCCACACTCACGTTTGCAAACCTGTACCTCCCAAACAAAGGCCAGAAACCGTTTCTGGCCTCGGCCCTCAGAACCCTAGAAGAATTCGGTGAAGGCACAATCATAATTGGAGGAGACTTCAATGCCCCCCTAGACCCCAAAATGGACACGTCCAAAGGCGCATCTACGATACCAGGACACATCCTCAGAGGAATGAGGACTCTCCTCTCAAATCACCAATTTACAGACACCTGGCGCATCCTACACCACACAGACAGAGATTTCACCTACTACTCAGCACCACATAGATCCTACTCAAGGATAGATTATTTTTTCACCCAACACAGAGACCTAGACACGCTGCTAGCAGCCCAAATAGCGCCTATGACCTGGTCAGACCACGCACCAGTAATCATCACCATAGAACACCCCAAGCCCTTAAAACCGCAATGGACGTGGAAATTAAATGAATCGCTCCTGGAAGACCCACTAATCCAAACAGACGTACGCTCCGCTCTAGAACACTTCTTCCTCACCAACAAGACACCTGACTCCACGCCGCCTACAATATGGGAGGCGCATAAATGCGTCATTAGAGGGATCCTTATCAAACATGGCACCCGCCTGAAAAAACAACGTACACAAGAAATTGCACACCTTGTCACCCAGGTGGCCCAACTGGAAGCAAAACACAAACACACCCTCCATGACGCCACCTATAAACAACTTCTGGAGACTAGAGCGAAACTCAACTCTCGGTTACAATCAAAGATCCAATTCCAGTTCCAACTCGCAAAAAAAACATTTTACGAATTCGGAAATAAAAGTGGCAAACTATTAGCCAGAGCACTGAGAGCGCGCAGGCAAAAATGCCACGTCCAAAAGATCACAGCAGCAGGGACACACATGCTCACACCCAAAGCCATAGCAGACGGCTTCCGACAATACTACTCCTCCCTATATTGCTTACCTCTACACACTTCGCGAACAAACTCCACAGAAGCAACCTTCATAGCTCGCCAGAAAGAATATATAGCGCAGAACCTGACTTCCAAGCTCCCGCCCCGGGCCGTAACCGCACTGGAGGAAGACATCACTGCCGAAGAAATACATCTAGCAATCAAACTGGCCAAACAGGGGAAAAGCCCAGGACCAGACGGATACACGGCAAAATACTACAAGACGTTCGCAGACGCTCTCACCCCACACCTGCTTACCCTGTTTAACGCCATCCATAAGGGGAACCCACTGGATCCCAACACGCTCCTGGCCCATATCGTGGTGATACCGAAGGAAGGAAAAGACCCGTCCTCATGCACCAGCTACCGACCAATATCCCTGCTGAACACTGACCTCAAGCTGCTCGCCAAGGTACTGGCACTCCGCCTCCAACCCTTACTACCGGACCTCATCCACCCTGACCAAGTGGGATTTGTGGAGGGAAGAGAGGCCAGGGACAACACCGTCAAGGCACTCAACCTAATACACGCAGCTGGACGAGGACACAAGCCCGCCCTATTGGTCTCGACAGACGCCGAAAAGGCGTTTGACAGGGTGGACTGGTCCTTCTTATTCTCCACCCTAGAGCACCTTGGGATGGGACCGCACATGCTGGCCCGGATATCAGCCCTATACACCAACCCAGCTGCCCGAGTACAAGTAAACGGAATTCTCTCGGATCCTTTCGAAATAAGAAACGGCACGAGGCAGGGCTGCCCACTATCGCCCCTGCTATTTGTCCTCAGCTTGGAGCCGTTCCTAAATGCCATCAGAACCCAACCCAACATCGCAGGGATCGAAGGCGGGTGGGGAGTCAGCAAGGTTGCGGCATACGCGGACGACCTCCTGTTTACCATCACCGACCCAGCATCCTCCCTCAGAGAATTAATGCATCAATTTGACACTTATGGCATACTGTCAAACCTAAAAATCAACTTCACCAAATCAGAAATCCTCAATGTGGGCTGCCCCCAACCACTGGTAAACATACTACAAAATGACTTCCCTTTCCACTGGTGCACAGAAGCAATCAAATACTTAGGTATCTGGCTGTCGGCAGACCTCACAGCCAGTTTCCGAATCAACTTCCCACCCCTTCTTGACCAGATTAAAAAAGACCTGAACGCATGGCAGCTGCCACACATCACATGGCTGGGGAGGATCAGCGTACTCAAGATGAACATACTCCCACGACTCCTGTACCTCCTGCAAACCCTACCCATACACATTCCCACCACCTTCTTCACCCAAGCCCGACAGATAATGACAGAGTACGTGTGGCATCGCCAGAGGGCGAGATTGAACTTCGCCACTCTCACGAGACCCAAACACCACGGGGGACTGGGCCTACCCGATCTGACCAAATATCGGCGAGCCGTCCATCTCCAGCGTCTGATTGAATGGACACACAACCCGGAAAACAAACTTTGGATCCCGATTGAGGCAAGCTTCTCACAGACCCCCCTATCTCTTCTCCCTTGGCTACCAAAAGCTATGACCAACGAACTACCACGACAACACCCAACCATAAACGCTACTCTGGCGGTCTGGAGAGGCTTAGCGCGACACAGGGACATGGCCCCGGAGCTATCTCCCCTCTGCCCTATCTCCCATAACCCCAAATTCCCCCCGGCGATGGAACCTCGCTACGTCACAACCCTAGGGCTGCCATATCCATGCAGACTAAAGGACATATACAAACAAGGCACGATTACCCCTCTGAGAGACCTGGTCCCAGATACCACGCACAACTGGCCACTCCGCTTCAGATACCACCAGCTTACGAAATTCCTGACGCACATGCCCGAACTGAAATCGGCAACACGAACACTCTCCACCTTCGAAACCCTTTGCACAAGCCCCTCGATCCCACCACACGCAATCTCACTCCTATACACACTACTAATCACACCTCCCACCGATGCTCCCCTCCCTTACTTCACCAGATACTGGGAAAAAGATCTAGGACACCCACTCACCAGGGAACAATGGACCACAGTGTTTACGCTCATACACAAAGCCTCTATAGCCACCAAATACCAGGAAGCAGGATATAAAATGATCTCGCACTGGTACCGAACACCAGAGAAATTATCGGCAATGATGTCCACCTGTGAACCAGAATGTTGGAGATGCAGGAAAGAACTGGGAACCCTCTTCCATATATGGTGGACCTGCCCACTCATCAAACCATTCTGGACGGAAATCCACAAAGTCCTAGAGACCGTAACGGACGCGAAGCTACAACTTACACCCGAAACCTATCTGCTCCACCTGACCCCGCTCCCCTTCAACAAATACAAAAAATCTGTAATCCCGCATCTCCTGAATGCGGCTCGCAGCCTCATTCCGAGACACTGGAAACAACCTACGGCCCCGACAATCAATGAATGGATGATCAGAGTAGAAGACATCAGACGTATAGAGGAGCTCATCCTCTCGGCGACGGGATGCATACAACGCTACCACGACACCTGGTATCACTGGTCACAATGGCTCACCTCTGCCACAGCGATGGGAGACGGGGACTTACAGCCCTCAGATACAGAAGTGGAATTGTCCCCCCGGGCCGAGGCCGGAGGAGCTGGACCGAGACCTGGGCCGTCCCCCGCCTAACCCACCACTAACTCCCTATACCTCATCCCGCTTAACCTGAAACCACCCACACCCCCCGGTCCCCATTCTTCATTACCCCCCCCTCGCCCCCTCCTGAGCGACTCCGCCCACCTACAACCCTTCAGAGACAAACCAACACAGAGATGAATAAGCATGACACAAGACAAACAACGCTCACCCCTCACTCCCCCCCAACACAGATCGAACGACACGCACCGTACCCATGACACACAACAGAGACATACACAAGACAGCACGCCAGAGACAACACTCACGCTACACACAACACGACAACTACCGGGCCAGAAACCCCCAGCTTTCTCCCCCAGCTACCAGACGGCTCTGAGCGTAGCAACACTTAGACACACAAACCAATGCTGCCAGTACACCCCACCCCACCCCCGTTCATAACACTAACGGACCGGCTCCGAGCTCCATACCCGAAGCCCCAACAAAAGACCCACCCCACTGGACCCCACCAACGCAACCCAGGGCATATATCCCCACTAAATAAGACCTACACATGTACACCCATCCAACCAATGAAACCCCACATACTAAAACAATATGAGCAGTACAACCTGTTAGGTATACCAAACCCACCCCCAAGATAAACACTGAATCACATCCCCCACTAAAACTCATAACTCTGTAACTTACCGCAAAACTACCCACACCATACCACAAATGTTGAATGATTCAAAACACGCAACTGTTTCTAAAAACTCTGTTCATTATATGCGCATGGCCCGATCTTCAGTAGCCATGACGATGGGATCAACTCAGTGAGTTACCAAACCCCACGGCACTGAAATACCCACATACATATTTTATATCTTATGTTTTTTATGCCTAAACCATTACCTGCTCTGTAAACTAACTGTTACCATGCTATATTAAGATGCCCATGTACCTTCTACCTGCTGTATACTTCTTCAAACTGGATTGTTACGCGAATTTAAATCAAAATAAAAACTTTTTGAATAAAAAAAAAAAAAAGTCATAACTTTATTGTGTTAGCCCTTCACATGACAGGTGCTTTCTTTTTTAATTGTTTTCGTATATTGGTTTCCAAAAATATTAATGTGCCAAGGTTAAGAATAGTGTGATAGGGTTAAAGACTGTGACAGTGTTGAAAGGACACATAACCTTTAGTTTTAATTGCAGTCCATTTCAGACAGCCATGCAATAATTGTCTTGTGGGTGATGACGTGGGTGCCATTTCTAACATTTCTGATGATTGTCAAAGTTTAAGTGGGCATGCTACATCAAATATTCTGTTAACAATAAAAATAGGAGATTACCATTTCATAATCTCAACTATAATTATTGATTAATTAAGTGAATAACTCAACCCTGTCTCAAGTCTACAACCCCAAAACAATGACATGTGTGACGGGGTTGATTGTGATGGGGTTGTGTTTTGGTTTTTTTGCTCAAACCGGTCACATTTTGACCATTTGGCAGCAATGTAATAAGTAATTTTGAAATGCCTATGGGTTAAAGTAAAATTTTGAAAACTTACTATCTTCCATCTTGACAATACCCTTCTGCCTATAATACATCTAAAAAGTTTTAATAAACCGGATGTCACTTACCTTCTCCTGAACCCCCATTGAAGAGAGCTTAAAGGGATTCTATAGTGCCAAGAAAAGAAACCCATTTTCCTGGCATTGCAGAATCCTAAAGTGCCCCCCTCGCTCCTGCCCCCCATTTCACGTCGCTGAAGAGCTTAAAACCTCTTCAGTCACTCACCTGAATCCAGCCCCAATGTCCCTCGTGCTTGGTCAGGCTCAGCCCACATTCCTCCCTCGCCAACGTCAGCCGGCAGGGGAGACCTAATGCATAGCGTGAGGACATCCAGTGACAGATAACGGACCAAAGGTCCATTTGGATTCCGGAAGTCACTCTAGTAACTGTCTGGTAGACAGCCACTAGAGGAGGAGTTAACCCTCAGAGGTAATTATTTTAGTTTCTCAGAAACTGCAATAATTACCACTGTAGGGTTAAGGGACATGGGACATTGCACCCAGACCACTTCAATGAGCTGAAGTTGTCTGGGTGACTTCAGTGTCCCTTTAATGACGTAACTTCCAGTCAATCGTGTCTTATATTTGTAGAGTCTAAATTATTGCGGGCTGAGAATGGTTGGTGTGATGAGAGATATTTACAGCCGCTTTTTTGTAAAATATTTTGCTTTGTTTTTTTTATTATTATTATTTTTTCAAAAGAAAGGATCACAAATTAATATATATATGATTGCCAAAAATTATAGACGCATTTTATTAATGATTTTCTAAGTACAAATTCATTGTAGTGTCTACGAAACACAACAAAATGCTTGGTGTAAGATAGAAATAAAATATTATTTTACGATGACGCATATTTGAATGCAAAAATAATGTGTATTCATTATAATGGACCAAATTATTGTAAAAACTTTTTATCATTTACTTTTGGTGAGCTACAAATTTATAAAACTACAGGGGACCGAAATGTTACTGGATTCCATGCAGGAATAACCCAAACATGAAGAGAGGCTGTAATGTTTCGTAAAGCAAATTTAAAAAGGAGGCAAAGATCACCGATTAGCAAAAAAAATGCCCAACTTATCCATAGTCACAGCTTGACTTATTTTGCTAAATTTTGCCATTAAAGTTTCCAGTTTAATGAGTAAATGGTTCAGTTAAGGATCGTACAAAGACAGGACAAAAGAAAACAGAATTTGTAATCGCAAGAATATTTTACTCTCTACAAAAATCTAAAGATTTTATTTTTTTCATGACAAAAATTTTTTCAGCAGAATCGCATGGTCCCTCCTGTCTTTGTTGGGACAGGAATGTCTCTGGATGTTGATAAAGGTGTTATATGTACACATGCAACAATAAGAGTAAAGGAATTATCAAAGAAAGACTTAAACTGCAAATTAACAGCTCGATTTATGAAGCAACATAAAGAGCCTCATTGCAGCTAAATTGAGCAATGCACAGAAGTCAGTTTAAATATCTATGGTACCTGCATCCTGGTTTGCAATCTGGCTTCTAAACATAACTTAGCTCAGCCAGAGTAGTAATTTGGAATAACTGGTGCGAGTGTTCAATGCTATAGATATATCGTCTAAATTCGAGTTAAAGTATATTTTGTACAACTCGCCATACGTACCACTAGACAGTGTGTGGGGCACGCATGGGCAATGACCATTGTTGGAGATATCTCAGCGAACACCACAGCCTCTAGCACAGACATTTCAATACTTCCAATTGACACACTTCCTCAGAACCCTCAATATCCTTGAAGGGTCCCTTAGACAACTCACTATGTTTGAACAGATGTGCTCAGGCACGACAGTGTTAGTTAAAGGGACCTCCAATTGCCTCACATTACTCCAAATGCACATGCACAAAGGTCTCCCAAACTTTACACGTAAGTGGGAACATTGCCTAGGCTGTCCACTGGGAGAAAAGGAATGGGAAGCAATCTTCCGCAGGGCTTTCTTTGTTCACACAAGTGTCTCCCTCCACGAGGCTAACTAGAAGCTGATTTCGGGCTAGAAGCTGATATCCATAGAGTTCACTCGGACGTACCTCCCCTTTTCTCTAGATGAGGAGGAGGTCTGGGGGACATGGGCCACATTTGGTGGCATTGTAAGAAACTGCGGCCCTTCTGGGAATTGGTGAGAAATCACTGGCTTAGTCTTACCAAGTGGCTTAGTCTTACCTTACTACTCCTGAATATAGACATGCCCCTAAAGAAATTCAAACATTCTCTTCTGTTTTTTATGTTGGTAGCAGCGAAATCGGTGATAGCGAGTAACTGGAAGTCAACCTCTCATATAAGTCAACGAGAGTGCACAGCAAAAATAGAACACTTTCGAGTTCTAGAGGAACTTAGATGGGCATCGCCCATAGAGGGAGGGGGAGGCAGGTAGCGGGATGTAAGCAACTAATACTGATACGAAAACCAGACAGATAGATGATTGTTCCCCCATTCTCATGACCCACTCAATGGACACACCGTACAAGTGCAATTCTCATACAAACATTGTGATAAAGTGAAGATTAGAATTAGTGATCTGTGAATCACTAGGGTTTTTACATTTTTTTATATTACTGTATGTTATTATTTTGTAACGTCCTTGTTTATATTATTTACACCCCCATGAACCTACGAACTGAGTGCATACCTCAAGCATGAATGAACGTTAGAATGTAAGCAAAATCGTTCAGTATGTCTTATTGGCATAAGCTTGAGTATCTCTTAAATGTTAGAAATCATCTCTCAGAATGTACTCACTTTGTTAGTTTTATGAAAATTATATAAAAAAATAAATAAAAAAACATAAATATTGTAACACTGTATCATAGTTTGGTGATTTAAAAATGTAAACACAGTAAAAACAGATAATCAAAGCCATGCAGTGACAATAACCTTTTCAGTGACATAGAAGAGTGCAATGCTCTGAATTAAAGGGAAAATGTCATACATGTTGTGGTCACACAATAATGTGATTTGATGAAGTCCTTCTAACTGGAAGAATTGATGGACTATCTCTAAAACATACACATTATGTATGTATACATATATAAAAACATACATTAGTTCCTATTAAAATCAGACATAGGCCAATAAGTTATCACAAGCCTTTCTTCTTGTTTGGTCAACATTACTTAGTGTACTGGGAACATGTGCTTAATTAACTTCCTGCTGGTGTCATGTTTATATTACACTGGTGTCCCTTTAATTGGTTTACCTGATTAACAAGGTATCTTTAGTTAATGTTGCTTGTACCTCATCAAGTCAGTTGTTTGCAATATCTTTCATTTTTACCACGTGCTAACATTTAAAATATTTTTAGAGAAGTCTTAATTGTTGGAAAAACATTTTTAAACCCTTCTCAAGAGTTGTTGAATTCGATAAGTGTCCAATGGTTCTGTTAAAGAGCTGATGACTGTTCCTTTGCGGGATTCTGATCACCGAACCTCGAGTAGAGGGCCTTTATTCACAGATCTTCTAAGGGGGGAGGTGTTATGGAAAAGTATTAAAACAGTGGAATTATTATACTGTTAACAACTGTTTGGTAGCTTTTAAATGTTATTAAATATCAGACATGGAATTGTAATGTTTTTGTATTTTTTAAAAACACTGTGGACTGAATTCTCTTGAATCCAACCCAAATATATATTTTTGTAATTCTTTTGGTGTGATTATTTTAGACTAAGCTCGTTCTACTGCACCAGTATGTAGTCATCTGTATATTATTGTAATATATGTTAAATATATAAAATATCAACCTGTCTGTAACCGTAATATGTTATACTGCGCAGCTGAATCTGCTGGTGCTTTCAAAATAATAATAGTAAAATTAATAGTAATAATAATAATAATAAGTTAAGAAGAAATAGAAAAAATGTTTTGGGAGATTTACATCCACCATTATAAATGTCAGTTTCACCCAAAATAAATTGCAATAATAGGTTGAGACTCTCCAGCATTGTCAGTCTTCCCACGAGTTCCAGTTTGAAGGAAATTGACACTGATAAACCTGCATTGTGTAAGTTTTGCATTATCAATACAGCTGGGGAGAACGCGGTATCTGGATAGCGTGGGAAGCCACGGACTTTGTCA